ACAAACACACACAGACACATACAAACACACACACACAAACACACAGACACACAAACACACACACACAAACACACACAGACACACAGACACACACACACATAATTCTCATTGAATCTCCAAATTAATGTGGAAACAACATAAAGATTTAATCTTATTACCAAGTAGCCTATTATTAATTAATTAATAAAGGCCTGTATAACTGATAGCAATACTGCTACTGATGTCTCTATTAAATGCGCTTTTACCTATTAATTATACCCATACAACATTGCAGTATAATTTACAACCATAATTTTTTTACATTTAATAAGCTTTGAAAAGACTTTTAATTTAAGTAAACTTAAAACATCACATAAACTATAAATTGAAAGTAGATGATCCTTTATTCAAGCTACAGAAGTTAATCAGCGAACAGAGCAGTGAGTGATTTCTTCCTTCAGTGACAGACTGCAGCAGGCTTGACTTTAAAAGCAGCGCTGTCTCTTTAAATCCTGACATGGATCTGACACGCATCCGGGTTTAACTACTTTTTAACTCATTTCAGACTGTGTTTACGAGGTCACTCGCCTAAAACGGGAATTTTAGTTTTTGTCTGTTGAAGTGGCTTTCTGTGCGCGGGCACATGTTCACAGAGAGCTGCTTTACAAGCTGGGTTTCCATCCAAAGTTGCAAATTTAACTTATGCGCAAAATTGGTATATCACATAAAACATTTGCGAACAAGCGGGTTTCCATCCAACGAGTCAGTGAGAACAAAACCATCACTTCCTGATGAACTAGCACTAAATAGCACTAAGAAAAGTAAGAGAAGCCACTGAATATAATAATTCTCAAATATAATAAATTACTGAGCGAGCAGACGAAACACAATAAATGCGGTCTTGCTTTCGGAGGTGGATGCTGCTGTTTGGGAACGCAGATCGTTCTGGGAGGCAGTTATACAGAAATACTTTGACGACAGGCTTTGCTCGGGCACTCCAGAATGATCATGAAAACATTTCAGATGCAGTGCAACAAAATCAGTCCGCTGGTTAGTCAGGTTAAGCTGTCCCATAGCGCAAAGTCACATTACTTTTTTGAACGCTCATGCGGGATTTATTCGCAAAATGCGTTTCCATCTCCCATTATTCGCATTAACCCTTTTTCGCACAAGTCAAAATCCACCTCAAGCAAATTAAGGGATTTCTTTTTGAAATTTGGCATTTCACTCGTTTCTCATGCGATACTTCAAAATGCGCATTAAAACAGGGTGATGGAAACATAGCTAGAGTTGACTTCTCTTTCGCGTCTTATTGTGCTTGATAGCGTGTTCATAAAGTCCCCTGTAATGCCAGCCAAGGGATCCCAGGACAAAAATGGATTCTGCGTTATGTGAAATATTTTAATGCATTAAACTAAAAAAAAAAGAATCGCACAATTACCGTGTCCATTTTAACAGCCCTAATGTAAACATTTCATTTTTTTGGTTTAAAGATTACCTGTTACTTACCCAAAGACCTCAACATGTGTTTTACAAAAGGCCAGATTTACGAAACAGGCCAAATGAGTGTGAAAAGCGCCGATGGGAGTGTAAAGTTCTGGGGCTGATCTACTTCCACGTTAAAGAACGCAGAAGGTAAACATTTCCATAATGACCAGCGCAGTCTACCAAGAGCAGCGCAAAGGGGTTAAGACATGATTTTTTGGGCGGTGAATAATGTCGCAAACACCAGTAAACTGACTAGAACAAACCTTAGTAATTGTAAATGTCGCTATATCCTGTGCGAACAACCAGCAACATTAGCATCTGCAGTAGTGATTAATTAAAGACATACAGCACAAAAGAAAGTCCTGTCCCACTGATAGGCTTCACACTGGGTCTTTTTTGGGGCGAAATATCGGCTGTCAGTTAAAGACGCCCTCTGGTGGCTGATAGCAGAATTCTGTACGCAATCAAGTTATTAGTAATATATGTTAAGATAACAAGCCCCATAATAACAATTTTATGAACATAATCTTGGATTTATTTGAAGAAGTTCTTATTAACGTGTCTGATGTTTTGGGTGTTGGTGATCATTATTTTGTTTGCTCTGAGGACTCACAGAAAGCGAGTGGCAAGCCTAAAGCTATCATGCAGTATGTTTCGAGTCAGAAAGCTGCTGCTACTGTATTTCTATAACTGTCTTTTGTTTCAGGCTAAACTGCGAAACACAAGTGCAGCAGGACAGCGAGGATTCATGGAAGGAATTGGTGTTTTATAGGAGGAGAATAAGAAGCTACTCTCTGACAAGCAAGTGTCTGTGGTTCTGTCAGGTCATGTAGAGCCGCCCGTCGCAGTCATTATTAGCACCCAGCAGGATTCTGCTGCGATTTCACTTCGATGACTGCACACACACAATCACACTGTCATCTCAAACACAACTCACAGTCCGTTTCAAGGCTTTTTAACACATTTACACCCTAAAGTTACAGCGCTTGCCTCTAGGACTGAACTGTCGTCCTTCCGAAGCAAGGATGCTAAATCTTTTGTGCAGGAAATTAAACGTTTTCCGAATGTCGCACGTTCTACACGGCGTCGACTGAAAAAACCACATGCAAACAAAATGTTTTCAGGTTTTTCTGTGAACACACACGCAGCAGCTAAACACACTGACACTGCTGTCTCGAGGTTTGCTCCCTGGAGGTTTTTCGGGGTACGTTCGGTGACAGTCGGTTGCGCGTGCGCGTGTGTTAATTACTGCTGATCTCGTCTGCTGGAGGTGTCGCGCTTCATTACGCCGCCTCGGCCCTTTCCTTGCCAGGCCTCATTTGGCCCATCCTCTGCTGAGGGGTCTAACCCTGGCAGCCAGCGCGGCTCGGCCCTCCCCTGCTTGATCTCTAGCCCCGGCTCGCTCCTTCAGGAGGGCTCACTCTTTTCACGCCCCCACCTTGCCTGCTGCCTGTCCTCCTAATCCCAGCTGGGCTCATTATGATGTAGCCTGGCTGCCTCCCTCTCTCTCTTTGAGCCTGAGCTGTCCAAGCTAATTACAGGCTAGCAGCCAGCACTCCCCGTTAAGGGCCTTCTGCCGCGGCGCTAACGCTGCCTGAAAGTGACCTGCGAGGAGCACGAGGGAGCTGCTCTCTTTCCAGCCACGCAGCACCTGTCCTTCGGGGTTAGCCGTGATCCCTGTCATGCCCGATCCAGCGAGCACAGAGCAAACTTAGGCCGGCCTAACTCGTGCTTTCAGGAGCGGGAAGGGGAAAAAAGCCCTACGATGTTGAGGTGGAAGGCGAGTGCTGTCTTTGATCTCCACTTGCCCGAGACGGTGTTATTGTGGAAGCACGGGTTTCTTCTTAACCTGGCGTTATTTATTGTTTGCGCTGAGAGGAATGGGTCGGGATGTGCGAGGTGTAATTAGGCTGCTCTTGTTTATCAAGCTGTTATGTGGGACAGCGAGCTAAATTATGCTTGATAGCCAACAATTAAGGACGGGGATGGCAGGTTGCATTTTACTGACCGTATTAGGATGATTGCGCTGGTGAAGGTTGCGCTCATAAGCGTGCCGATGGTCTGCTAATGCTTAATTACCTGATTGCGGCCTGTAGTTTCAGACGGTCTTAATTGCCGACAGAGACAGCGGTGGGCTGCTTCTGGCTTTTCTCGCTCTCTCGTTTCCTTCAAGTGCTTTTCACAGTCAGGAGGTCTCCGGACCGGCACCCTTTCCAGCAGATCTGGAGTCCGAATGGAGTCTTTTTTTAGGCCTCGCTGTTATGTGGGTCAGTGACTTTACAGAGGAAAGGACAAATCTCTTAAAAGTGTAGTTGAGAACAGATGGCGAGTTCTTATACATCTACTTTTAGTTTTGTGTTGGTCTCAGTCTCGAGCTTCGTATTCATTCATCTCAAAATGTTGTTGTGGAACCAAGTAAAAAGCATTTTGTCTTTACCCATTGAACACATAAGTGCACAGATCATATATATTAATTGTTAATATCCATTCAATAATATTAATCAATATTCATTCATTTTAGTACATTCTAGTCTAAAATAGCATCTAAATTTTAGTCTTTGAAAATAGGGCTGTCACTAACAATTATTTTGGTAATCGAGTAATCTGTGGATTATTCTGCCGATTAATCGAGTAATCGGATAATTAATCATTTAAAAAATTTATATATATATATATATATATAATAGAAAATTAAGTACCAGATAATCAACGAAAAATTTAAAGGATTTTAAATGCACGACGCGAAGCGGAGCATTATACTTTATTATGATTTTTAAATGAGTTTAATATATCACGCAGCCTTGGAAGACGGTCTAATAAAGATTTTCATGGATTCTTGTCTGTGAAATGCGACACTTCCGGTATTTTGCCGATTACTCGACGTGGACAAAATGCAATCGAGGATTTTTTTTAAATCGAGTAGTCGAATTGAATCGATGAATCGCGACAGCCCAATTTGAAAATAACATTATAGATGATGAAAAACTGTGACATTAATTAGTTATTTCATACTTGTTTCAGCGAGCCGCTGCAGAAAGGGCGCATTCACATATATATGTATTAACAAGTTAACATTGCATTTATGTTGTGTATATATCTGGTTAATCACATAAGTGTAGGATACGTTTGGGTGAGTTAGTTAACCCGCTAACAAAGCGCTTCAGTTTATTTGCGTTCATTCAGTGCTCAGCGACCTCAGTGACTGGATTATAGAAGCATGTTCTTTGTAGATTTTTTGTGTATATACACTTACTAAAATTCTGAGCAACAAAAATGTACAAATTTTAATTTCCTTTCATTCTTTTCATGCTTTTTTGACCCCCTAAAATAACTCCAATTCAGTCGTTGTATGTTAATTGCATTATAGTGTATAAATTAGTGAATTAATTCAAAATGAGCATTACTTTGACACATTACCTGTATTTGATCAGGACTGCCTCTATATACGTCTGTGCATTTACTGTAGATAATCATTTTGATTGTTTTGCCTCGGGGACGTATGTGTCGACTGCTAATAGCAAATTAAAATCAGCAGGGAAACAGAGCGACCGATGAACGGCTGTGTTTAATAACAGGCGCAGACGACCGAAAGCCATTGTCAGGAGCAGCTCTGGATGGCTCTCTGGAGAAAACATTCAATTTCAATCGAGCAATTCAGTCAATTGCTGGATGCTTTGAGATTAAAATATCTCGTTTTGTAGCAAGACGCCACTGGATTCGCTTTGGTATCATTTGCACGATGCCCATTTGTAATCTCCCCCCCGCTCTTACAGCTTTTTCATCTGCTCTTTCTTCCTCATTACGCATCTGCCTCTGCTCGGGATGTCCGCAGTTGTTAATTGTTGCTTAGGGTTTATGGGTAAAAAAGAGCCAGGAATTATTTAGGCCTCATAAACAGAATAAACAGCCCTTAGACAGTGATAGCTACACTCAAACGACATCAAAGTATAAATTACCCAGCCATTAAGCTGAAAAAAGCCTTTGAGATGATTTGCGCTGCTGAGTGTGACCATTACAGACATGATCCCCGACTTTGACTTTAATGAAGTTTAATAAAGTTTACCCTTCTTGTGCCGCTGTGTTTTGCTTTTCATCTTGATTGCTACAAGGTATTAGGAGTAATGAGTGCCTTTTTGCCCTGGGTCCCAGACAGGGAGACAGAAATGGAAGAACGTATAAAGTCAGAATGCTTGATGTCTGTTTTGAAGACTAGCACAACTTTTGGCCCCTCCATTAATTATTTAAGTAATGATGCCCGAAAATATGCAGCTCGCTATTCAATGATCGAACGTTTCGCTGCTTCTTTTAGCTCACTCTTAGAACTTCGAAGCCATTACATCTCTTTTCTTACGTTGGAGCTCAATTATTATGGATTTGAATATTCAGAAGGGAGTGTCTAATCATTTTAGGAGTGCAAATTTTAACTTGGTGGCATAAAGCTTTTCAGCTCCCCAGATTACGTTGTCGCCGTGCTTATGTTATGTTAAGGCCGTATGTTTTTAATAACTGTTCTCATCCTGTCCACACCACAACTATAACGATAACGACACTGAGGAACAATATCATTGGAATAGGCCTGGGCGATAAAACGGTATCGATATTTATCAACGGTACACCTTCTTCGATAACGATACGCAGTTATTTCCTTGCGTTGACAATTTAACGTGCTGCATTATTTTGCTCATTGCGCCCTCCTGTGGCCTCGGGAAACAAGCCAAAACTTTAACCTATTTAATCTGCATATAAAACATTAGAAATGAGATATTTGTTTAATTTTTATTTTGTGTTAAATTTGTTGTTTGTCTCAATAAATTAATTTAAAAATACAGTGGTTAAATATAAAAACATTTTCTATTGCTCTTTGTTTTAAAAAAGGTTATAAAAAATGTTAGTGGACACTAATATAGTTATTGTTTTGGTGTAAACGGCTCTTTACTATGCGTGTGAATCTGGTCACACAGGGTGCACATTGTTTTCTGCAATATATATATATATATATATATATATTTTTTTTTTTTTTTCAAACAAAAATGATTTCAAATAAAAAAATAATATAACATTTTCCCCACAGTAATGCAAGGGATGTCAGTGACCTCTAGTGCAGTGCTTTTCAAACTTTTTCATGCTAAGGGCCCCAAATGTAATGATCTCCTTGCGAGGGCCCATCCATCCATCTCTTGTCCTGTGTGGGGTCGTGGGGATGCTGGAGCCGGTCCCAGCTTCTTGGTAACACTCGGGATGGATGGCCCGTCCGTTGCAAGGTTAACACTCACAAACATACACACACATAGACACACACACACACATGCACACACTCACACACGCGCACACACACACACACACACACACACACCGACGGGCAATTTATGGTCTCCGTTTCACCTATGCTGCATGTCTTTGGATTGTGAGGAACCCTTTCCTAAAATATAAAAGCTACTACATATTCATGTATAAAGACTCATTAATACTGTGTGAGAAAACATGATCTTATATAAAAGCTGTATGTATTGTAAAATATATTTTTATTATATAAAAACTGTTTCCAAAACGAAATACTTGGCTTATATATTGTCACTGTACCGAAACCAAAGCAAATGATCGCAATATTGTATTAATGTATTGATTCGTATTAAATTGACAGCATATTGTTTTTCCTCCTCACTATTAGAGTGATATTACAGAAGCTGAAGAGAAACATTGTAATTCACATTCATCACTTTCCCCAAATATCACTACTAAACAGACTGTGAATATAGTGGTTGATATATGTGTGTGTGCGTGTGTGCGTGTGTGTGTGTGCGTGTGTGTGTGTGACCCTGGAGCACAAAACCAG